TTTCCCTACCACAAGATTATGAAGATACTTTTTTCTGTTATTTCCTAGAGTCTTTATTGTTTTGTCTTTTACGTTTCAATCTGCAGTCCACCTAGAATTAATATTTAGTTGACATTTTAACATACTCCTGCAAGTCTAGAAAAGAGCTCAAGTGATCTCTAAGTTCATCCGTCTGTCCTTCCTTCCTTCCTTCCTTGCTGCGTTGGGTCTTTGTTGCTGCGTGCAGGCTTTCTCTAGTTGTGGTGAGTGGGGGCTACTCTTCGTTGTGGTGCAGTGGCTTCTCTTGTTTCGGAGCACGGGCTCTAGGCACACGGGCTTCAGTAGTTGTGGCGCACAGGCTTAGTTGCACCGCGGCATGTGGGATTTTCCCGGACCAGGGATCGAACGCATGTCCCCTGCATTGGCCGGCGGATTCTTAACCACTGTGCTACCAGGGAAGTCCCTCTAAGTGGTTTCTAAGACCAAATTAATTCAATTTACATGTAGAAAATTGATATTTGATATTGACACTACACTCATATGTGTCGAAAATATATCTATTAGTAACACATAGTTTATCAAATTCCTCATATATAAAAACATGTTGGGCATGTTTAACTTTTTACTACATTTAAAACTGCAAAAATTCACCTTTCCGTATCCACTGGCTATACAAAGTCTGTCTTTGTCTGCCAATATCTGTATTTCACATATTCTCAGGAAGACCTTTGCTTTTAGTGAGGTCATAATCCAAGTCTTCCTGGAATTTGAGATTTTCAATTTTATTTCATCTCACGTGCTCACTTAGTTCCTTTCTCTTATTCCAAACTGTCTCTATAAACGTACGGGTGAAAGACCAAAGGGAATAATTTCTGGATGTTTATACAGGAATTGTTTAAATAATTGTATTTATATTATGCAAACGCATTGGTGGTTTGCTTTTCTTCAGCAAAGGCTGAGGTTGTTCCTTGCAGAAGTGGTCCTTATCCCTAAACATTATATCTGTCGTAGCACTGTTGATGTTATAACTTTTGTAGGATAGTTTGGGATTATCATCTAGTAGACTGAAATATTTGTTCTTAAAAGTTGACCGAGGGCTTCCCTGGTGGCGCAGTGCTTGAGAGTCCGCCTGCCGATGCAGGAGACGCGGGTTCGTGCCCCGTTTCGGGAGGATCCCACATGCCGCGGAGCGGCTGGGCCCGTGAGCCATGGCCGCTGGGCCTGCACGTCCGGAGCCTGTGCTCCGCAAATGGGAGAGGCCACGACAGTGAGAGGCCCGCATAACGCAAGGAAAAAAAAAAAAAAAGTTGACCGAGCTTGGGAATTCTCTGGTGGTCCAGTGGTTAGGACTCCATGCTTCCACTGCGGGGGCCCGGGGTTTGATCCCTGTTTGGGGAACTAAGATGTTACAAGCCGCGTGGCACCGCCAAAAAAAAATTGACCGAGAACTGAACAAACTACCAGTTGAAATAGGTTGTTTTAAAATTTATACGTGGTGTTTATTGTACTTCCTAGATATAAACATTTTAATCTTGGTAAAAGACCTTATGGTTTTACAATGAAAAGGCTAGACTGACTTGTCTTTCAGCTTTGACAGTTCAACTCTGGAATTGGTCAAAACTCTTACCTGAAAAAAAGTCTAAATTACTTAAACAGTAGTTGTTTAAGAAATAGTACACAGGGCTTCACTGGTGGCGCAGTGGTTGAGAGTCCGCCTGCCGATGCAGGGGACACGGGTTCGTGCCCTGGTCCGGGAAGATCCCACATGCCGTGGAGCGGCTGGGCCCGTGAGCCATGGCCGCTGAGCCTGCGCGTCCGGAGCCTGTGCTCCGCAACGGGAGAGGCCACAACAGTGAGAGGCCCGCGTACCGCAAAGAAAGAAAGAAAGAAAGAAAGAAATAGTACACATTAAAGATCATTTGAAGGATTAATGAATGAAAAAATCACTTATTTAAAGGATTTGACCAATATAGAAATAAATTGCATCTTTGTGTTCAACTTTTAAAAATACACATCTCTGAAAAAGTCAGGGAGTGCTACACAATTATTTGCACGCAAATACTTAAAACTATACTACAGGACTTCCCTGGTGATTCAGTGGTTAAGAATCCGCCTGCCAGTGCAGGGGACATGGGTTCGAGCCCTAGTCTGGGAAGATCGCACATGCCGCGAAGCAGCTAATCCCATGCATCACAACCACTGAGCCTGTGCTCTAGAGCCCATGAGCCACAACTCCTGAAGCCTGCGCCTAGAGCCCGTGCACCGCAACAAGAGAAGCCACCACAGTGAGAAGCCTGCGCACTGCAGTGAAGAGTAGTCCCCACACCGCAATTAGACGAAGCCTACGCGCAGCAGCGAAGGCCCAACGCAGCCAAAAAAAAAAAGTCATCAGTCCTTTATAAAAATATATATATATACTACAAAACTTAACATACTTAATATACCAAAATGTATTTAAAATATACTAAATATACTTAAAAACATACTACAAAAACAATGTCAGGATTCAAACCCTAAATATGGTTTTTGACACTTCAGATGTAATATCTCAGAGAATTGAGTTTCATTCAAAAGGGTTGTGGGATTATGCCCCCAATTATGTGATGGCAGTTCTCTTTTTTATAACTAACGATCATGTGGATGTTCAATAATTTTTGTTTACTATTAAGTTCACTTCCAACCTTTAGATTTTATGATTCTTGAGGACTTCCCCTTAAGTGCCTTGATATTCAGATTAAGTAATATTAGCTTTTAATATTTTTAGTAGTAAATATGGACCATTATCCAAGACTTGTTTTATTAACAGAATATTGCTCTTGCTTTTCAGCGGGGATCTGATGAGCTGCTTTCTTCCGACATCATTAACGGACCTTTTACCATGAACAGTTCCACTCGTTCTGCAGGTGTGTATGGTGAGTTTTCATTTTTTCAAAATCTGAGATGTTTTCTTTCTCTGGGTTTCAAAATTTTTTTTTTCACAGTGTTCTTATTTTTCTCATCTTATAAACGTGCAGTGCTATTATTTACAACAAAATCTAAAATTTGTGGCAGTGAAGTTCATATAGATGAAATTATTAGTTACAGCACTTAAATTTTAAGCATTAATTTGGATTTAATTAGATAATTTTTTGACTCACATTCTTTGTTACATAGTTGTGATAAAATTATCACAGTAAGTAAAATTATCACAGTAAAATTTTCACATAGTTGTGATAAAATTATCAGTAAGTTGGTGATCTAGAACTATTGAGTAAAAGAGCTAGATTTAAAAACTTGTGTTGAATGATGATGGATTTAGAGTAGAAGTATTAAAACTATAAGTTCACATGATTTTAAAAATAAATGTTCTTGAAATTTAAGGACTAAAATGAATTGGAGGAGTGCAATACTTGAGAGAGAGTGAGCAGTTAGGAGGCTATTGCTGTATAAGAAATCCTAGTAAGGGTGGAGAATTTGTACTATAGCAGTAGTACTTGTGATGGAGAGAATTAGAGAACTTAACAGAGGGTGAAATAATTGATGGTAATTGGTGATTAATCGAATGTTTGAATAAGGAATTCCATTGAGGATTTATAGGTTTAGACTTAGATAATTGGATAGCTGAATTGTGGTGCCTTCATTTATATTAGAAAGTACGGGAAGAACAGGGTTGGACAATATGGCAGGTTCAGTTTTTTTTGTCTTTTGTTTTTTTTTTTGGCCGCATGGCATGTGAGATCTTAGTTCCCTGACCAGGGATCGAACCCACACCCCCTGCGTTGGAAGCACAGAGTCTTAATCACTGGACCGCCAGGGAAGTCCCCAGATTTTTTTTGTGTGTGTGTGTGTGGTACGCGGGCTGTTGCAGAGCACAGGCTCTGGATGCGCAGGCTCAGCAGCCATGGCTCATGGGCCCAGCCGCTCTGCGGCACGCGGGATCATCCCGGACCGGGGCACGAACCCGTGTCCCCTGCATCAGCAGGCGGACTCTCAACCACTGCACCACCAGGGAAGCCCAGTCCCCAGATTTTTATATATTGATTTGAGGTTCCTCTGGGGACATCCAGATGGAAGTGTGAGATAGGTAGTGGGTTCTGGTCTCAACATCATAAGAGAAATTTGGAAGTCAATATCATATACACTTAACAACTGAAGCCATGAGAGTGAAGAGTCTCAGAAAAGGTGAGATCTTTATCCAGATGTTTTGGTGTTATAGGGAGTTAGGGAATGAGTAGACCTCACTTTCCAGACCCTGAGTTACGTGATGTTTGGGAGAGTGAACAGCCTTTATGTGAAGACCCTATAAGAGAAGTGAACTAGGTTCAGTTAAGACAAAAGATGTAAAGAAAATCCAGTGAAGAGATTAAGAATGTTTGGGAATTGGTCAGCCATGGTACATTGCTCTAGAAGACTAAATGGAAGGATTTTGTAGGCAGGACAGCAGCAGGGGGCTTGTTCATGTGGAAGTGTGAACAGGGTACTTAGAGCAGGAGATTAAAGCAGCTTTCTCAAAAATGACGTGGCATCAGAACCACCCAGAGGGCTTGCTAAAGCACAGTTGCAGAGTCCATCCTCAGAATTTCTAATTCAGTACATCTGGAGTGGGTCCTGAGAATTTGCATTTCCACAAGTTCACAGGTAATGATGATGCTGTCATATGAGGAACCACACTTTAAGAGGTAGTGCCAGGGAACCACACTTTAAGAGAACTGCTGAATGAAGGAAATGCTAGAAATCTGAAGTTCCTAAACCTGATTATCCTCTTGATCTGGTAGGCTTTTAAGAAAATTTCGGCCCTTACTCCTAGAGTTAACAGTACATCTAGGGTGGGACCCATGTGTTCTTTTTTAAATAAATTTATTTAATTTTTTATTTATTTTTGAGTGCGTTGGGTCTTCATTGCTGCACGTGGGTTTCTCTTGTGCAGCGAGTGGGGGCTGCTCTTAGTTGCAGTGCACGGGCTTCTCATTGCGGTGGCCTCTCCTGCTGCAGAGTATGGGCTCTAGGCACGTGGGCTTCAGCAGTTGTGGCACTCAGGCTCGGTAGTTGTGGCGCACGGGCTTAGTTGCTCCACAGCGTGTGGGATCTTCCTAGATCAGGGCTCAAACCCGTGTCCCCTGCATTGGCAGGAGGATTCTTAACCACTGTGCCACCTGGGAAGCCCTTGTTCTTATTTTTAAAACTGAGGTCAGTTTGTTCGGTCATGTTTACAGACAACTGGGATGGATGACCAGAAGGACTGACATCCTGGTTGATTGATTACTTAGGAAATGAAGTATGAGCTGTGAGTTTAGCTGGCATCAGTAGTCTTCTGTGTTTTGCTTTTATGTTTTCAATTTCTTCTTGTATCCCATTCCATTCTAGGTTCAGTGTTTTTCTTCTTAAAGCACATCGTCTTTAGTAGCTATTTCAGCAAAACTCTATAAATGGTAACCTCTTAGACTGACTAAAAATGTCTATTTTGATATTACTATTGAATGGTAGTTAGCTGTTTAGAATTCCAGGTTGACAGTTATTTTCTCTCAGTACTTTGAAGGTATTGTTTTATTATTCTTTTGGCATCTGTTGTTGAGAAGTCTTTTGTCAGTCTAGGTTATTTTTTAGATAGTATTAGTTCTCTGTAGTTGTTTTAACATTTTTCTCTTTAATTTTGTTCTGTGGTTTCTCTAGCTGTGTCTAGGTGTAGATCATTAGTTCTCAACCCTGGATGTTCACTAAAATAGCTTGGGAAGCTTTGAAGAAAATACAGATACCTTGGCGTACTCCACACTAATTCCAAAATTACAGGAGGGGGAAGGGGGACCTAGGCACTGTGTTTAATTTGTTTCTAAAGTTTTTTAGGTGATACGTGTAAGGTGCAGCCAGGGTTGAAGACCATTGCTGCAGACTTACTTTCATTTATTCTGACTAGGAGTGACCCTACTTTCCAAAGAATTGTTTCCTTTTGGAACTCCAGTTAGACGTGTATAGGACCACCTCATTTAGTCCTGCAGTTGTTTTAACCTCTTACATTTATTGTCACCTTTTTCTCATTAAGGTCCTGTATTTTGGATAATTTCCTTGAAATGGTTTTCTGATTCACTCATTATTTGTTCAGCTTTGTCTAATATGCTGTTTAATCCTTCTATTGAGTAATTGATTTCAAGGCATATATTTTTCATTTTTCTCTGTTTTATTTGATTCATTTTTAAAGATGATCTAGTTTTGCTGTTATTTAGAAAAACAGTATCGTATTCTTTTTTAATGGTTTCTGTTGCTTTTTCCCCCTAATTTTTTAATTATTTAAAACAAAATTTTTCTAGTCTCAGATTTTACAATTATGGAGTTCTTTGGGGTGCTAATATTACTCGGTTTTGTATCTGCTAGTATTTGCTTATGGTATATTATTTTTCCTTGATTCATAATTTTTGGTTGTGAGGTAATCTTTGGCTGAATTATTTTCTTCTTCTGTGAGAATCTTCAGGGAAGTTTTGTGTTTGCTCTGCTAGACTTGCTAGGGTATCACCAACCCCTAACATGTCCTAATGTATGTGTTAATTTATTGCTTTGGGGATTCTTACCAGCAGGGAAGAGAAAATTAAAAATCCAGACATTTACATTCAAATCCATGAACAGAGATAGACTTCCTTGTTAAATACCTGTGATACATGGAAAATTTCTAATTTTAGTTTGCCTTGTATGAAGGGATGGCCTGCTGAAGGGTTTGCCTGTTGATACGTAAAAACTTTTTTTAGGTCACCTATACATTAAAAATACTAATGTAATATTTGATTCAGTATTTGCAATTCTCTAAAAGCTTCAAAAACTAAAGATTTTGGTACTCCATTCCTTGACTTCTTTGAATAAATATTTCTATTTGATTTTGAACAAATTGTGTCAGAAAGTTTTTAGGGCTCATTTATAAACAAGTTAAATCCCTTTGTAATTTACTTAAGTAGTTCTTCAAAGACACAAATAATTTAAAAAATCACATTGATAATGCATAGCTAAAAGAAAGCCATGTATTGTGTTGAAAGATCTTTTTTGTATTCAGTACAGTCTTCATCACAAAATTTTTGTAGTTCAGTTAATCTAAATGTGGATTTTAAAATATTTGTAAAATTTGATGACTATAATTTTTCTTTCTATCTGTAGAATATTGCTTGTTTGGTAACAAGCTATGTGTGCACCAAATCGATTGCAGATACATGTCTACTTTATGGGACTGTCAGAACACTGTTTTTGCCATGACATCTTGCTGCACCAAAATTTATATTTGTATTATTACCCCAAAGAAGTTTTATTTTTAGCTGAGTTTTTTAAACTGAATTTTCATTAGTGTCACACATTTCACTTTTGATAGAATGACTTCCCAGAAACTTTCCTTTGATTCCATTGAAATTATTTAATATTATACCATTATTGGGTAATAACTGATTTTCTAATGTTTGCAGATGATGATAAAACTGATATAATTTAACTGTTTGCAAAGTTCTGTTAGTGGTGTCAACATATTAACACCTGACACTTTATTGTTTACACATGGAGAAGAAACTTTGCAAGTTAAATTAATTCAGAATTACAGATTTATGGATTTACTATAAGATATAAAATGGAATGATTATAAACGGAATTGTATTTCATGTGTAACTGGCCTGTAATTCCCACATTTTCCACAGACTGGCAGCCTGGCAGCCAAATGAATAGCATACGTAGAAAGTTGAATACTGATGGAAGGAGTTAGGAGCTATCCTTAGCTACTTGTGTCCCACTGCATTTCTTCTCTTTTTTTTTTTAATTTTTTAAAAATTTTTTAAAATTTTCTTTTCAAATTGTTTTCTTTCTTTTTTTCTTTGGCTGTGTTGGGTCTTCGTTGCTGCATGTGGGTTTTCTCTAGCTGCGGCAAGCAGAGGCTACTCTTCATTGTGGTGCACGGGCTTCTCATTGCAGTGGC